TTCAACGAATTTGCGTTATATATGAGTTGTCCGTTACCGTCGATACGAATATTTCACACATTTCTCGCAGTGCCCTCAGCAGAAAATATTACATGACAAAGTTAAATTAGTGGATTTGTACTGCCTGTGCGGTGTTGCCATGGTTAGTGTGAAGATAATAATGAGCAGATAACAATACAAGAAATAAAATTACCTGCAGGGTATAGGTACGTAGCAAAACGACTAGGTCGACTGCTACATCGCGGTCTGCAACACGCGATAGCCTGGGCGCGATAGTTGCGGCGAGCTTTTGTCTCTGTGGGGCAAAGTGGGGGAAGGAGGAGGGAAAAGGGGGGGGGGCAGACGTGTTACAGTGGATGACACTTGAATGGCAGAAATTTACATTTTGTTATGTTATAGCAAAGAATTTTTTTTGGTCATGTAGTTCTAGAACTAAAGTGAGCTATATTCTATCACCTAACAAGGCTCTTATACCTAATGTAGGTACCAGTGCTAAATGAGTTGCTTATTATCTTTATCGGATCTGAACGGGCCAATTTTACCACACTGTACAGCTAGAAGTGTGCGAAAGGAGCACACTTGAAAGTGCTTGCCAAAATAACACTCACAAAATAGTGGGAGAACATATCACATCTTTAGTGTCGTGCGCGAAGTGAACTTTTTTACTAAACGGGGTGGACGTTGTGCCCCGTGGGAGCAAATGCGTATACTAGCCCGCATGAAGACGTTCGGACGGGTTGCCAATTTGCACGGGGCCTTAAGGTTTCGTGTCAAGAGACGAAACCCATAGAATTCCAAATCGATACGAAGTGTCACGAGAATTTGATTATTTTCCAATTTTAAACCAGATTTACACAAAATTCCACATGGGAGAAGTTACCCTTAAAACTTCAAATGGGGCCGTTTAATTTTCCTCACGATAATGAACAACAGAAAGCCAAAGTGGCGAGGCGGGGCTCGGGGAGCCGGCCCGGGGGCGCGGGGGCGCGGCGCGCAGTTAGTACGGTCCGTAGCCGCGCACTCCCCGCCCGCGCCCACAGCTCCACTGCTGGCCGGGCTGCACCGGGTACCCGCGGTACCGGCAGCCAGGCAGCCAGTCAGCCAGACAGCCAGCCAGCCAGCCAGCCGCCAGCCAGTCAGTCATCCAGGCTGGTCTAGGGCACCAGGGCCGGCCGGCGAGTGCGCCACTCGCGTCTCCGCCACCGACGCGACAGAACGGGACGTCTCGTTTCTGATCCGGGTCTCCAGTGGCCGACTGGATTTACACCTTCCTCGTCGACAACGCCCTCAAGTAGATCGATCAGGTGAAAGATGCGTGCGGAGCATGGAGCGCGCCGAAATCCGTTTAGTGCAGGGGACCAAATTCGAAAACGATACCATTTCAGTTGTGTTGGACGAAATCTTGATTGCACTGATTAAATAATTTAGCCAATCAATTTGGTTTTGATCGCTCTGTCCGTATAAAGTTAAAAATAAGAGTACTTAAACGTAGTTGGTTTCAGGAACTAAATTTTGTTTCCTACAACGACCCTCATTTGGTATTGTCAACTTAATGGTTCTGGGTGTGGGAGTGATCTGTATCTGCGGCGCAAGGAAGTCGACTCCATGCCCTCCAACAGAGGGTGGAAATGTCGTCGTGCTTCTTCCAGCGAAATATTTTGAAACGGAGGAAAATGTGCGCCCTGAAATGGACCGTTTGAGGAGTGCAGCCGCAGCCCGAGCCACTTGGCGCGCACGGGCGACTAACTAGTTACGACTTTGCTCACACCTGCTTACTTGGGTTGCATCTGGGGAGATCGCACAATGCCCTCTTGTGTGTGTGTGCGTGTGTGTGTGTCTCTCTCTCTCTGTGTTTGTGTGTGTGTGTGTATTCTTGTCCTGTTTCTTTTCTCAGAGTGGTTCATACTCCTCATAACGATCGCTGCAGACGCGACCCAGACCGTGAAGTAGCTGGTCGAGTGGCCCGGCTAAACCGCTGAACGCTGCACCGAGCTTAATGAGAGGCCGTTAATGAGATTGTTTAACCAATCTTTCTTTCCAGAATGTCGCGCTCTTCTACACTCGCCCTTCCGGACAACCCCCACTGGGTGGAGAGGCTCGCCAAATACCCGGCTGGTGAGTCAAACTCTTCACACTTTCGTTTTCGTTGACGGGGAAAAAACCGTATAAGTTTGAGAATTCTACTGCAAGAGAAAGTGTCGAGTGAAGTGGTGGCAGCGAGTAGTAACCGCGAGCGGTGGCAGCAACTCATACAATGTTTTCATTTTTTTTTCCGACACGGTCTATCTACGCACCGTGAAGTAGTCGACGTTCGGAACATGTTGACCGATTCTGACTTAACAGTTGGTCGATCCACTAATATGATGTAAAGTGGTACAATAGTGTGCCCACGTTTACGCGTTCTTTAAAATATCAAAAGTGGTGTACAGCTAGTGGTGTTTTTTTTTTCACTTTTAAGAAATCAGTCAGTGCAGCAGACTAGTGCGCGTGTTACACGGTACCACGCACAATCACGGTGGCAGTTTTACGACAAGACTTGGGTCGCATTACAGGCGTTACAGGCTGATTGGGTGCGCCCATGCACCGCATGCACGCGTGCCGGCATGGTGCCGGCGGGTTGCGGACCCTCTCGCGCCGTAAGGCAGGCGGCAGGCATCGAAGGTCGCTTTAGAAAACCAAGTGTGCAGGAATGCCGTAGTATGTGCTCAATACCCTCTATGTAGGGTGTTCTAAGCCATACTTGTTTTTTTTCTGGTTATGCTGCAGCGCTTGCAGGCGTGCGGCGTGCGTGGGTGGGCATGCCAAGAGTCCTATTTGCACCCAGAAAACGGTTCCGTTGATCCAATGGAAAGAAAAATATGATGATGAAATTTTTCCCTTGACTCAGTGGAATTTCATTGATTCAAAGGAATAATTTCTATGGGGTAATTAAAAATCGCTTAATGTCGCGGAAAGATTCTATCATATTATCTATTGGTTAAATTACCATTGACCCAAGGGATTCTCCGATAGTTCAATGGAACCATTTTATGTTTGTGGGACTCTACTCTTCCCTTGCGCACTGGAAACGCAAAGTGTGTGAATGTCACTCACTTGTAGGTGTCTGAATATCCGTTCATACACTGAGAGGGTTAAAGGTGTGAATTTTCCCTGAGAATTCACACGTTTAACCCCCTAGGTGTACGAATGGATATTCACACACCGACAAGTGTGCGACATTCACACACTTGCGTTTCCAGTG